TGATATGATATTATTTTCCTTCTCAATAATGACAAGAGCTACCACAAACACCAGCAGAATGGCATACTTGCTCCTCATTCTCAAACAGTGCAACAGATCCCGGAAATCCTGGGCTAAAGCGTGCCCTTTATCCATGAGGAGTAATGGAAGAGTCCAAGACTGTCATCAGAAAGGCCCTCTCCTTTGAAGGAGAATAAAGAAGGTCTTCAGCCCCTGGTGCTCTGCAGCTATTGAGAGAGCATGTTCCAATCTTCCAGTGTTTCCTTATCATGTGGGTGATGCTTTACCTTGCAGAGAGACAAAAATAAGAAGTGTAAGGGTTAACAATTAGAATACTGGTCGTTTGAAATAAACCAATTTAAGACTGACTTTTGCTAGGTCAGTATTTTTCATGTGGTAGGAGTTTTAATTAGATTCCAAGATTATACAAAATGTTGATCCAAGGAAATATCCATTGAGATTGAATCCATCTGATCATTCTGTCATTTCCTCCAGTATCTGCACAGAAATCTAAAAGGGGCTATACCACACAAGCACAAAGCATTCTTCCCTTCTTTTTGCCCTTTGATGACTCAGACAGCCAATAAAGTATCTCTTCACTCTCAGGGGAATTTCCAAGAGAGTGTACAGGCTACATCAAGTCCCTAAAAACAATACCCTTGCACTGTAGGAAGAGCATTTCAGCTAACGCTGATGCTTACAACTGCCAATTCACAATTTAATAGACTCATTCCTTCTGCCATGTCCACAAATGCTATCCATGGCAACCAAAACTACTGTCACACACTGCTTACTAAACATCTTTAAAAAAGTGGATTGTAAACCATCCCTTGTTTGGCCAGGCTGTTTAGACTCTGTGCATCTCAAGATAAGAACTGCAGGTCTGGTTCTGCTTTTACTTAGTACAGCAAATCAGGAACTGAAGTCTATGGACTATTATAATATAATTCAGAGAATGAGCATACTGTGCCACAACTGGGAATAAGTAGCGAACTTCCACACTTTTTCTGTGGAGAGGACAAGGAGGACCAATAACTGGCCCTCTAACCACTTTCTCAGCCTGTCAGGTCAGTTTTGAGACACACTAGAATGCTGGAGGCCTTATTTTCACTGTAGTTCATGTTCCCAATAGGAGACTTACCTTCCTTTCCCAAATGGGCTTTTATCAGGTGCACTTGTGGGAGAATCCTCAGCATTTCCCTATGGCCTTTCTGGTCTTTCTGTCATTCCAGATCTTAAATTCAAGTGGCCAGTTTCAGGCCTGATGTACCTACACACTGAAACAGAGGGATGGTTTGGTTCAACTGCTTTGTGCTATTCCAGTAGAATGGAACAAAGCAAAGACCCTAGACAAGAAGAGGGAAATGAACAACCTAGGAAAGGAGGAGAGGCAGTGCTGCAGTGCATCAGGTGTGCTTCCTGTCACCTGACAACAACTGCTGTGATGCAGTAACAGCAGAGGTGGGAAGGAAATTGTGTACGTGCTCCTTCCGTTAAACTGAGTCAAGCACTTCAGAACTTGCTTTGTTGTGAACACACTGCTCTATCTGTGGTCACTGGAGAGTGCTTCTTCAACAATTGGGGAAACATCTTCTGTTCTCAACATCTGGAGAGCTGGTGTCTACATCAAGGGCCTGAAGATGATTCTCTTACTGTATGAATGAAATTTCAAGTAATTTAGAGTAATAAAGGTGCTGGGGGGGAGGGGGGTGGCGGCTTCTCTTTATAACCTCCATCCTGCCCAGGAAGAACAGCTGTTGAGAGTATCTGTCAACCTCTGCCCTTCATATCTCCCTGTTCCCAAAATAAATCTTTTAAAAGAGACCCCTTGCTGCACTTCCCCTCTGGCTGGCTTCCTTCCCGTCCCTCCCCCTCTCCAGAGTCTCTGTTCCCAGCTCTGAAATACAATCTTCTACATTTTATGAGCACAGCTTGCCATCCCAACAGCTGCTCATTTGCACTCTCCCAAAAGCTTCCCTACTGAACTGCCAATAAGATGGTGGAGCAATGGGGAAGGATGCCCTGAAAGCGCCATTCCAGAATGAAATCAGCAAGGGAAGGAAGCTGTGTCCCCTTTCATCTTGCCAATGTCCTGCAGTTATCACCTCTCTGGAAGGAAACTAAGAGGACAGTCTATTTTCTTTACTGTGCGATTTGATGGAAGAGCACCAGATCCAACAAATTCAGTATTCATGTGCAGGCCCTGAACTCTTCACACCTGCCTGCCATGACTAGCTGTAGGAAAGACATGACACTTTCAAATGTTATTACAGATACTCTGCATACATGTGGGGCCAATGAAATTCCTTTAGATTATTCATTATTCCTGCCTGTGGTGATTAGTTTATTCCCAGGATCCATCTTTGTGAGCAATTGTTTTTAAAGAAAGTTTTACAAATATAACCACTACAATGAAACAAAGAGAATGACAATAAAAGTCTGGGTTCAAATCCTTCTCTCGATTTCCAACCCACCATTTTCATATCCTGTGAAATTTCAGCAACTCTTTTGTCAGTTGAATGAACAAGGTCCCGTTCAGAGTTTACTTTTTCTTAGTGAAGATTAAAGGATGTCTGGGCATTTTCTCTTTGTTTTTTGTTTTAGAAGGGCCAGGGTGTCTAATTTGATCCTAATCTGTATTGGGTGACAGAGGAGAAGAGGCTAGTAAAACAGTGAGCCAAAAATGTGCTTAAGGGCCCACACCTCTACAGAAGAGAACATGAAACCCCCTGCAGTTGCTGTTTTACAAAGATTTTTGTTTTGTTGCTAAACTCTGAAAGTCATTCTGCTTGGCTGGGTTTAGGGGAGAGTTTTCAGGGTGGGGGTTAGCATGTGGATAGTCTTGTTCTTCGTTACTAGTCTACTTCCAAATTACTAATGAGCAAAGACTTTCTATTCTGGACTAGCTGCAGACCAGTCTCCCAGCCCCCCGCCCACCTTCTTCAACTATGCTGTAGCTTCATCTTATTTCTGAGCTATGTGGTTATGATGATTTCCTCTATCACAGGAAATGTTTCAGTTTTGAGTAATGTTAAAAGGTAAAGACACTTTGTTTTCTTGTGGCTGGGGGCAGGGTTCAGACTCTGATAGTACTAGTGCATTTGGTCGGCATTGTTTATTTCATAATAAATTTCAGCCTCCTTTAACATTCTACAAACAATAAATACAACTGCTGCTGTCAGCAGGTGGCAAAACCATAGGTACCTTCACTTAGTGTTAATGTGTTTTTAGGTTTTATTATTCATTGACTTGCATCTTGTTCAGTCATTTCTATCAGGGCCCTGGGCATACATGGTAGGTATAAAACACTACCAGACCAAAATAGATTCCTTTTACACCCTCTCTGCACTAGTAAAAATG